TTACCTTAGTTTTCCTTTGAGAGTGTGATTTTGGAGCATAGAAGTGTGTTGGTGGCCATTTTGGAGCTTATTTGAGAAGAAGAAGTTAGTGAGCAAGCTTAGAGTGGCATTGTGTCCAAGAGTTTGCATCTAGATCACCTTGAAGAGCTTCTGGAGGTATAAAGTCTTGATCTTGCCATCTTATTCATCAGATCTAGCTAGGGTTTTCTATATTGTCCCTTTAGTTGGTTTTTGGACCTTCTCTTGAGAGTTGAGAAACTCCAGAGACTAAAATGGTTAGATCTGAGCTTTGTGGAAGGTGCTAGCTTGAAGGGTGTCTAGACTCCATGCTTGAGTTTGAAGCTTTATATGAAGTCCTAGTGTGAAGAATGAAGTTTTGAAGTCCCATATAGCATGCAAGGGCATACAGTTGTTTATACCCTAGGACGACTTAATGAAATAAGATACGATATTGGACGTTAGAACATCAAGTATTAAGCACTTAATGGAAGTAGGTGCTTAATCTGTTTGTACGTTGGGCGTAATTTAGTGTACGCTTGCGCGTACAGCTCAGGGACTCAGTACGCTGAGCGTACAAGGGTGGTACGTAATGCGTACGCACTCAGATGGGTTTGGGCTCGTTTTGGGCTTATAAGCCCTTTAGGCCATAATCAGTTATTGGGCCTGCTCATGTTTTGAGTTGGTGGCCCAATTTATCTGTTTTGGGCCATGGTTGCTACAGTTGGGCCGATTGGGGCCATGATGCCTATTAACAATTTGGACATGGACTTTAGGCCCCTTAGCATTGGAAAACTCTTGGCCCTTATGAAAGGACTTGGACTTGGACACTTGGGTTCTTTAAATAGATCATCATCAACCCTAATTTTGGGTTAATGGTAATGTTGTTCAACACGGGTGGTTTCGGACTGTAGGAGAGCAGCTTTCGGGTTCAGCAGATAGAGGTGAGTCTCCTCACCATACCAATGGATCGAAGGCACCAAGGCCGGCCCATTTAGTGATATGTGGTACACTAGTGATGTAGTGATATATGGTATACTAGTTGTTATATGCTATGTGGTATGCTAGTTGTTTTTGTGATACTTGCATGAAAGACCATGGGGGGAGCCCATGGAACTTGAATGTAAGACCATGTGGGGGAGCCCATGACTTTCAAGGTAAAGACCATGGGAGGAGTCCATGACACTTGGATGTCAAACCATGTGGAGGAGCCCATGGCTTTTTAGGTAAAGACCATGGGAGGAGCCCATGGCACATAGGTGTAAGACCATATGGGGGAGCCCATTGCATCCTGGAGTAAGACCCTGGGAGGAGCCCATGACATCCTTATATGTTTATATGCATGGATTATGTGATTGATATGGATTATATGATTATGTGGTTATGTGGGGTATGCTCTAGGGAACTCACTAAACATTTGCTTACAGTTTGTTGATTTGTTTCAGGTACTTTAGAGCCTAAGGGCAAGGGCGAGGTTTGATGGCGCGGCATGCATTCTCCGACAATTTTATGGGGACCTTTGGAAATTTATTTGGAAATTCATTAGTCAACTCGGATTAGTTTATGAATTCATATGACAAATTTTTCATTTTTCATTCACAATTCCAAGAAATTCTTGACACCAAGTACAATGAAACCAAATACCCACCTTATTTCTCACAAATACTTTGTAAAACATAAGAAAAATCATAAAGATTCAGATATTAAAAGCACCAATCAGAGAAAGTGAAACATGTTATTATGAACACAATTTCAGGACAAAACAGACCTACAACTTTGATGTAATGGCTTATTTCTAGCTCCTTGCTAGTTTTTATAATATTTCCGTCGTTCTAAAAAACACACACACACACACACACAATTTCAGGACAAAACGGACCTATAACGCTCTACTGCATCAATCAACCAGCTCGTCACATTTCAAATAATCTCGTCTTCCATGAACGGACAAAGCACATCGGAATGTATTGTTACTTTGTCAAGGAGCGAGTGGAATCACAAGAAATTGAGCCTTTACACATCAACACTAAAATGGAGATAGTTGATCTTCTCACATAGGCACTGGAATCAAAACAACTCAAGTTCTTATTTGTCAAGCTGGGCATGCAAAACCTACACGCTCCAGCTTGGAGGGAGGGGGGGGGGTATTGAAATGTACGGTACGATCACCTTTTCTGTCTTCCAATCACATTTACTACTTGACTAGTCTTTAGCTCCTAGAATATTGTGTTTTCTTTCTTGTTTTTACGTTTTGCCTATTTAGGTTTTCTTTGTAATCCTTTACCGATGAAAATAGAAAAAACAGAGAAATCAATTACTCTGAGAACCTTTAACGCAAACCCATTTATCTTCATATTGTGTCACATATCATGTCGAGAATTGCAACCCCTAGGCAAAATGGTTCTCCATGTTTAACAAAATTTTCTTCTTCACCTCTCCACATTTTACAACAAACTCTTGTAAAACGTCTTTCAAATTATGGGTATGTTTGACAACGAACTTTTAGTATGTTTTATCTTTTAGGTTTAAAAATAAATAAAATTAAAGAAAAATATTTATTCAGGATTATGAGCTTAAACCTTTTATTTTAAACAAAAAGGAAATGACTCATGATGGTAATTATGCTTTAAAATCATTCAAAAAATCCCATATAAGTTTGATATGTTTAAAAAACATCATCTAAATAAAGTCTTTATACAAAAAACGCCGACAAACTAAAGACTTTATTCAAATATCATCTAGGTTTTACAGACTCTTACAGGTTCACGATGGATGTTACATGGAGCTACCAATAATTTGTTACAATAGATAAACAATATACAAATAAAATATAAACATTTGTATTTTCCATCAAACCAAGAACAACCAGGTCTATCTTCATAGCCAACAACCCAACACCCACCATCCGACCACCTTTTCAATCCATTGCCACCTTCGCTTAAAGTTTCAACCACTAGAGAGACTCAACCATAGAATCATCACCATCTCCACCTCAAACTGCACAGTAAAACCATCACTAACCACACACCCCCATAACCATCTTCCACCACCCTTACAGTTCACACCACTATTTACTAGCATATACTACAAAATCATAACTTCCACCTCAAACATCGGACCTCAAAAATACCACAAACCATACCCATCACTTTAGCACCAACCACCGTCCCCTTTAGACCTTATCTTCATCTCAGCCGACAACCCATACCACCGAAACCACCGTGAAACACTAACCACCAGAACCGATACCACCTGCTCCAGTCGAGAAAACCACCACATGTTTCCGTTGAACCGACCAACGAAGCCACCCTTCAAACACCGTGAATCATATCAGAACACCCACTACCGAACACCACCTCTATAGAAAACTCGAACCACCCTTATTCCAGCCACCTGCTTCATTGGAACACTAACCAAACTTCACCAAAACCACCACGGCCTCCATCTAAACCACCCATCTCTTCCTATCACATAGCTAAGAACCATCCTTATACCGCCACCATCGCTTGATCGACCATCTTGGCATAGTCACCTCTTTCGAGCACTACTACCAGTCGACTACCTATACATCGAAACAACCTTATACCAATACCACCATCGAAGCCAGTCAAGCCACCTTCCATAACCTTCTCCACATTAAAAAGCAGTCGAGCGTAAGCCTCCACTGTGCACACGATGTCATTGTTTTTTCCTCTTAATTAATTGTACCGTTGAAGTAAAATAAATGAAATAGGATTAAAGCTTCAATGATTCAATTGTGCGTGGCTATGCATAACAAAGGAAGAAAGAGGGGTTTTTTCTTGGGGCAATTTTTGGGTTTTTTCTTGAATGAAAACAAATAAACAAAAGCAACCGGTAATATCTTTGCCTCACCTATAAAAGCCGGTTACAATAAGTGTCATTTGAACAAAGTGTGTGGTTTATTGGTGTTTTTTGTAAAAAATAACTTATTTGGATGGTTTTGAACACACTAGATTTAGATGGTATTTTCTAAACAATTTTGAAATATAATTACATTGATAAGTCATTTTCCCTAACTAAAAAAAGTAAAAATCTTTTAATTCAAAAACTACTTCTAGTAGTTTTTATTTTTAACCTTTATGTTAATGACCGTTTAAAATTTTCAAAAGGTTATAACTATTTTGGTTGAACATTTCTCAAAATAAAAGTTTTAATTGACAACTAATTTTTCCACATATACCCCAAAACTTCGTTTTCACGATATACAGCTCTCATTAATTAACATATTAACAATTTTGTAGAACCAAAAACAATTTCATTGTATGCAGTTCTCATTTACTTTTTCAACATTTCTTTTGCAAATTTGTCAATGAATAGTGACATTTCTAGCGGTCCATTTCACAATTCAAACTCATTTCATAGTCCATTTTATTTCATAGTCCATTTTGCAGGGTTTCTTGACTTAACATCATGGTTTATAGCATTTCCTGCCCAGTAAGCCAATATATAATTTCGCATGGTCCTCAAAAATATGTGGTTATATCTAGGATGTGGTTATTTTTTGCTATTACTTGCCAAAGGTTATATAAATTTAGCTATTTTTGTCAAAATTTTCGAAATATAAACTCAATATTTACTAAAACATAACTAATAAAGAAAAATTGTTGCTGCGACTACACATGAATGTTCTCTCGTTTATACCAAATATTATGCTTTTTGTCGTGAAATTTACTATATTTTTACAGACGAATCAGAAAATTTAACTATATTTTGTACGGATTGTGATCTAGGTCATTTTGAAACAACAAAAATAACCATAATCAAATAATCGTCAGTCAACTCGGATTAGTTTATGAATTCATGTGACAAATTTCTCATTTTTCATTCACAATTCCAAGAAATTCTTGACACCAAATACAATGAAATCAAATACCCACCTTATTTTTTCACAAGTACTTTGTAAAACATAAGAAAAATCATAAAGATTCAGATATTAAAAGCACCAATCAGAGAAAGTGAAACCTGTTATTATGATCACAATCTCAGACATACGTTCTTGCAACTGCATGACTTCTACTCCTGGGAAACATCTCAGGTTTTAATCTCAAATCATCCGTAAAATCAGATGGCGTCTCTTCATCAATTCTTCCAAAAGCCACGCTTTGACTACGAGGCACATGTGGCGGAGTCGCCATCTGTTGGCGGAGGAGAAAGTCGCCGTCTAATCTGTTACCTAAACTTTTGGTGGAAGCAATCCTCATGAGCTCTGCGAAATCTTCGTTTCTTGATGATGCTGTGCTGTAACTTTTGGGTAGACCGGTGGTGCTCTGGGAACTAAGACCGCCGCCCATGCCAGCGGCGCATGAGTACATGCCGGAGATGTACAGGTCTCGGATCTTGCATATAAATTTTCCGGGTGCCTTTAAGACCTTGGTGGCGATTGTGGGTTTTTGGCTCTTTTTTTTATCCATTTTTTTGAAGAATGATAGAGTGGTGTGGTGGTCTTTTAACTTTTAATTATTGCGTGGTTGTGTGTGTTTGGTGGAAGAGATGCGTTTTATATAGATGGCATTTCCGAAACCATTTTATATTCAACTTTCTGAAGAAAAAGAAAGAATTGTTTTTGTATAATGATTATCAATATAGTATATATATCATATAATATTTTAATGCATGTGGATTATTCTTGGGAAAAGGTCTAACCATTTTTTTCTAGTTAATTATGTGTTGGTAACGTGACTAAAATCATATTATATATAATATTTATTTTTCAGGTTAAATATACTATATGAATAAGAATAAGTTTTATAAATATAAATTTCATGATATTCGCTTGTTGTATCATGATATACATGAGTTGAATAAACCAAAGAAGTAGAAATAGATAATAGGTTATTGTCTTAATATATTAAGCCATGTTTTTAATTTGACAAATTGTTAATGTATCTCGATTAAGTCAACAAAATATAATCGTATATAGGTGCATGGTCATCCCGGACATTGGGCAACATGGGCAACCGTTTGGTGCCCATCTTCTATATACGAGTCCCCAAAGTTTCGACGTTATGTAATAATAACCATATAGAATGATTTTTTTTTCTATGATTAGTATGTTTGTAGTAGAGGTTACCGGAAACATATGGACATGTTATTATAAATATCAATTTACAAATTTCAGTGAAAACATTTAGTGAAAGTGAAACATCTAAGACGTTGTAAAAGAAATTTTTTTTATTAGGAATGGTAAATTTACTCTAAAGATGATAGAATATTAAATTTATAAAGTTCATCGATGGTTTTGCTTATTTGTTTTTAAAGGTTGATCTTGATATATAATTTGTATTTTTGTATCTTAAAAAGTAGAAGAAGTATATATATATATATATATATATAGATATATATATAGCTATATATATATATAGATATATATATATATATATATATATATTTCGGGTGAGTACTTGTGAGGACACCTTAAAAAAATTGAAAAAAAATCTAAAAAAAAATACAAATCATAAAATCGAGCATACTAATATATCGGAGAGAAAAAAAAGAAGTTGGAAAAAAAAAATTTGGATCATTAAAATTGAAGCATTGATCATTTTGATGATCAATGATTCAATTTTTATGATCCATGATTTAATTTTAATGATACAAAAAGAAATTTTCATTTTTTTTTTCTCCTAGATATATAATATTATGCTCTATTTTATGATTTGTATTTTTTTAGATTTTTTTTAATATTTTTAAGCTGTCCTTACGAGTTCTCATTTTAAAAGAGTCATCACCCGGAACCGGACCCTATATTATATATATATTATATAATATAGATATATATAATATATATATATATATATATATATATATATATATATATATTATATATATTCTCAGTGTTGTAAATATCAGACTAGGTGGCGCCTAGGCGCTAGGCGGTTTGCAATTGACTACGATTAGGGGTGTTTGACGGAAATTGGTTAATATCGGTCAAACTCGGGTTAGGTGGTCATCGGCGGTCCTCAGCGGTCCTTGGCGAGAAGATTTTAAAAAATTCAAATTTCAAAATTTCAAATATTACACCAAAATTTTCAAAAATTCAAAATTTTAAATTTTTAAATATTCAAATTTTCAAATATTATACCAAATATTTCAAAATTTAAAATTTTTAAATTTTCAAATACTATTTTTTTTAGGATATATTAAGTTTTAAAATTGTTTTATTAGTAATTTATGGTCCCCGATTAATCCTCCGATTAATCTCCGCCAAACCGATTAATCGTTTGACCCCAGTCGACCGCCGAGCTACCGCCAAACGAATTTTACAACCTTGATATATATATATATATATATATATATATATATAGATATAATATATATAATATATATATATATATAGATATATAGGGGGGAGATCGGTTGAGAACTCATAGTTTCCCGAGAACCCGAGAACTAAAAGTGGAGAGTTGGATCAAAAGTAATTCATTAAGGACATAATCGTCATCTTACCAATCTCATTTAATGTTTATTTTTTTCGTTTTATTTAATATATTAATAATAAAATTTCCACAAAATATTTACATCATAAATAAAAATTTCAGATTTTTTTTAAAAATAGTATTTTTCGTGTTTTTTTTCAAATGCAGATTTTTTAATTTTTTATAAAAAACATGAATTTTTGAAAAGAAAATTGAAAAAAATATTTTTTTTAAAACTGCATTTTTTTTTCAAAAAAACTGCAATTTTTTTAAAGTTAACTGCATTTTTTTCAAAAAAAACTGTATTTTTAAATAAAAAAAATTGTATTTTTAAATAAAAAAAACTGCAATTTTTTCAAAAAACTACAATTTTTTTAAAAAAAAAACCTGCAAGTTTTTTAAAGAAAGTTACATTTTTTCAAAAAAAAAACTACACTTAAAAAAATGCAAATTTTTCAAAAAAAAACTGCATTTTTTTAAAGTAAATTTGAAGGTGCATATATTCATATTTTTTCAAATGCATATATATATTTCTTATACTATAATATTCATAAGTAAATCACAAAAAATCTCATTTTTATTAATTAATCTATAAACATAATAGTACAAGTATTTTATTCGATACAAAATAAAATATAAAAAATTAAAAATGCTCCAAATTTTAAAGCGTTTTCATGTTTTCGTGTCAATATTTCCTTATTTTCTTCAATTTATCATTTTCACCTTTTCAATATTCACCACAATTTCTTCCAAATCTACAAGAAAATTTTAAAAAAAAATGATTGATGCAAAATCACTCACAAAAATACATATGTGATTTTCATGTGATTAACATATGAATCACATGCGATTCACATATGAATCACATGCGATTCACATATGAATCACATTTATATATGACATCATATGTAAATCACATGCGATTTACATATGAATCACATGTGATTTACATGTGAAACACATATGACTTACATGTGATTTACATGTGAATCATATGTGATTTACATGTGAATCAAATGTGATTTACATGTGAATCAAATGTGATTAGTATGTGAATTACATGTGATGTTCATGTGAATAACATATGAATGTGTACATATATACGTAATTCATATGTAATTCACTTGTGATTTACATGTGAATCACATATTATTCATATATGATTTACATGTGATTAATATGTGAATCACATGTGATTTACATGTGAATCACATATGATTTTCATGTGATTTACATGTGACTCACATGTAAATATATGAATCACATCCAAATTAATACAATGGCTATTATGTACGATAAAAAAGATAATAATTGAGACTACACACCTGTAATCTAAATTAATGTGAGGGGATCCAAATACAATTCATAAAGCAGCTGTAGGAGAACATAAAACTTGTTCATAATAATCATTAAAAAAACTAAGAAATCTGAAATTAATTGAGACTACACACCTGAAATCCAAATTAATGAAGCATTGCATTGACATTAGGCTTTTTAGCATTTCCAGAATTTTAAGAATAACCTTCAAACGACTTATATGAATAAGGCTTCAAATAACAATATTGCAGCAACAACAAAAGTCAAAATGAGCCTATATCAGGTACCAAGGTTATCAAACAGTGGGAAATAACAATATATTATCATTTGACACAAAAGCATGTACAAAGGTTTTACTAACCGTGTACAAAAGCATGTAACAATAGTTATTTTTCTACAAGAAAATTAAAAAAAATGATTGATGCAAAAACACTCACAAAAATACATATATGATTTTCATGTGATTAACATATGAATCACATGTGATTCACATATGAATCACATTTACATATGACATCATATGTAAATGAAATGTAAATCACATGTGATTTACATGTGAATCACATATAATTCACATGTAAATATATAATATTTCTCGTACCTTGTAAAGTAACTAAATAAAAGTAAGAGGCTAGTGCCATTGAAGATAACAAAGTTCATTAAAACTCAAATAATTTTAACTCCATAAATAGTTGATGAACTTTTAGTTACAAATAAAAAATTAAAGATAATAAAGTTCATTAAAACTCAAATAATTTTTAGTAAAGGATAATACTTTTTAGTTGTTTTTAAATAAAGAAAATTGAAAATTAAGTATAATAATAAATGAAAGTTCAAAAATATTTGAGTCATTAAAAGTTACATAAACGAAAATGGGGTAATATTATAAATTATCATTCCATTCCATGATGGAGTGAAGAAAAAACACCCGATGAAACAACAAAGATAATAAAAATACATTAAAACCCAAATAATTTATGATAAAAATAACACTTTTTGGTTATTTAAAAATAAATGTAATTGAATTGATGAATATAAATATTTGTGCCATCATAAATTACATACATAAAAATGGATTTTATTCAAAATTTTCATGCCATTCCATGATTGAAAAAAAACACCCCCTGGCTGAGAAATGAAAATTAGCAAAATGATTCCTTCCGGAATTGTCCATTCCATTCCATTAGGCAAAACAAAACACTACCTGAGTGTATGACCTTAATCACTAGAAATTATAATGAAATGAATGTTTGATTATAATAAGAAAAAAAACTTACCATGATCTTTAATGGAGGAAGTACTTTGAGCAGACAACTCCCTTTCTCTTTCATTCCAATTATCCTCTTTGGTCCAATAATCTACTAATTTAGAGCTTATCTCTTTGCACATGTTTCCAGATGCTTCTAATTTTGTCTCCAATTTAGATACAATTCCATGGTATGCATCATTTTCTTCTTTGGCTTTATCATACATTAATCTAGCTTTCTCTAATTCACCCTATAATTCTTTTGTTTGTTTAACCACAGATGGCATAGTATTCTTTATTACCTCTACCTTTTTCAACAAAGATGCAATCATGTCATCAATCAGTATTGAGAAACTACCAAATTGGTCACCAAGAATTTGGTTTCTAGCATTCAACTTATCCAAAGTGTTTCCAACATGTGAACAAATAATAA